CCCCCTCCCTCAGGAATGTATCCAGCTCAGGTTACCTAAAGAGATAGGGTAAGGTGTGTACCCTCTGCAGGGCCCATCTTAACCAAATTGTCACGGAGCAGAGTTTTTGTGGAGAAACAGAGGTGGCCTTCTGCCACACACTGATAGATTTTGGAGGCTGATACCAGTAGCCGATTTTTTAAGGAGGCATATCAGCTGATACCGATCCGATTTCTGATACAGCTGTATGCAGCTGGTAAGTGTGTTGTGGTGGAAGGGGAGGGAAGGGGTGTAGCGGGGGCAGATCAATGCCTCCCATGGTGACGGAGGGAGGGGGCAGGGGCAGGTGCTGCCCAGCCAGGGTGGAGTGCGATGCAGGACTGAGCCATGGCTTGTCGGGGTCGGGGTGGGGGGGAGGGGAACGGCTCCCACAGTTGCTTGTACCTCATGAGGGCATGGGGCGGGGGAGCTGTGTTTGCCCTTGGATCTGTGCAGGGCAAGGCAGGCGGGTGGGCTGCAGCCAGGGCTGCGCTGGGCTCTTGGTGTGGGGCTGGGCTCGGGGTAGGTGGCGGCAGTGCTGGGAGGGGGGCTACAGAGGGGACTGCAATTGCCCCAAATTTCACTGTAGCCTCCCCATAGCCCCTTCTCCCAGAGCCCACATCGCCTTCCCGGCATAGCCCTGGTTCTTCCCAGCACGTGGGTTGAGGCTGGGCATTGAGCCAGGGCTGTGCCGGGCAGGCAGTTGCAGCAGCGCTGGGAGGGGACTATGGGGCTGCAGCCACCCCAAATTTTGCTGGAGCCAACCCCAGCACCACTTCCACTCACCCTGAGCCCAGCCCCTGCCAAGAAGAGCCTGGCACAGCCCTGGCTCCAGCCCACCTGCCCTGCCCTGCACAGATCCAGGGGCACTCCCCCACCCCAACCCTGTGCCCTCCTGTGGTGCAAGCAGCGGTGGGAGCCACACCCCCAGGCAAGCCATGGCTCAGTCCTGCACCCTGCCCCACCCTGGCTGGGCAACACCTCCCCCTGTCTCCTCCCTCCCTCACCGCAGGGGCGTTGATCTGCCCCCCGCCTCCACCACAGCAGACTTACCAGCTGCACGCAGCTCTCCATGCTGCCGAGCTGTGCTCCTTGCTGCCTATGTGCTGTGCTGCAGCTGCGCATATGCATAGGCATTTATCACCCAAATTATCAGACACGTTGAGCTGATTTCCAATACAGCCAATTTTCTTTATATTGGTACGATCCGATATCAGAGCGATGTATCGGTGCACCTCTCTAGTAGGTAGGTGTAACACTTCAGGCTATCCCAGGGAAGCTACAGTTGCTTCCTTCCTTTCATTTCCAATGGAAATCATCCTGGCAAGTGCAGATTACTGCTCCCCTGTCCCACGGTACGAGCTCAGCTCTGTCCTGACTAGGCTACTGTTGCCTTTCAGATTTTGTGCACTCTATATTATATAAACCATGCCAAGCTGAAGCCACCTTGCAGAAAGAACTTCCTGATTGTGGCTTTTAAAAAAATAATCCTCAATTCCTTCAAGTACTGAATGCCTAACCCAGGGGTGGGCAAAATGGTGGATCTGGCCAGTGGCCAGACTCCATTTCCCACCAGCCCCTGCCTCCATCATTGCGGCAGGTTTCCATGGAGACCCTAGCAGAGATGGAGCCATGACAGCACAGGACCAGGGTTTCCATGGATACCAGCCCCAGCAGTACTGGGAGGCTCTTGTGTGCCCTTTGAGGCTGGGGCTAGGATCTTGCAGAGTGACAGTGTGGTCCAGAGCCATGGCAGAGCTGCAATCCACTGCCTGCAGGCCCCTGCTTGGGGCATTTGGGCAGCAGATCGCAGCTCTGTCCCGGTTCGTGATCACACTGTCAGCTGCAAGATCCCAACCCTGGAGCAGCTCCCTACCCAGCTGCATGCCCTGCTAGCACTGCTAGCCCTGCGCTGTCATGGCCCTGCCACTGTTGGGAACTCCATGGAAACTGGCCACAGTGACACAGGCAGGGGCTGCTGGGAAATGGAGTCTGCTGCGGGTCTGATCTGGCTCGGGGGCCAGACTTTGCCTGCCCCTGGCCTAGCTGAAAACTTTAGAAAATTCTACGTACAAATTACAGTCAGAACTTGGTGCTCCAGAAGCCAGTGCCGTTGTAATGCCCTGTAGCTCACAGGAGCTGAGGCTGATAGCAGAGTTCTTGTGCTTTGCACTATGGATTGTGAAAAAGGAAAGCTTTCCTTTCAGTGCAATGGCTGAGTGAAACAAAAAGGTATCACTCAGGCCTGGGATAGGGCTGGACTGAGGGGAAGCTCTCCAATGCACATACGTGCAGGAAGCAGTGACATTTTCTCCACCTGCACTAAAGTGATCACTTTATCTCAGCCCTGCAACCTGTTTTGACTGCCAGCAGTGAAAATTGGCAGGGTAGTAGGATCACCACGTATTACCCCGGCCTCGTCTTGGTTTCACACCCCACTAGCAGATGAGAGTGCAGCTGAAATAGCGCTGACTTTCCGTCTCAGCCAGAACTGCCAGTCTGTTCTGCCCATTTCCTTTGGCATCGTAGCCAGATCAGCTTTCCTATGTGCCTCACCTGTGATGGTTAATCCTTGTCTTGTTTGACTTTAGTGTATAATGTATTCCAGCCCTTGTACATATTTATGCTGAGGCCACTTTACCTTGCTAGAGCAGTGTGGAGGGGCCATCATATCTGCATACACAGAACAGCGACTGCTGGGTGTAGGAACATCACATCTCTCTCGAGCTCTGAGGCAGAGCTCTTAAAATGGAGAGTCAGTTGCTAAAGGTGCCATAGAAATCACAGCAGGTAGGGTACTGTTTTGTTTCTAGAAGACTGCTCCCCATCCCCCTGTTCCCCTCACACCCTCCTACCTTATTGAGATAATCAAGATAAGTGGGACAGGAACAGAGGAGGGAGTAGGAACAAGACCTAGCTGAAGGTGGGAGGAGTGAAACAGTATGATTTTGTCATCATCTGTAGATCATCCTGCAGGTTATATTTAGAGACAGTTTCACATCCTCTTAAATGAGTAAAGGAGCTACACAGGATTAGTAACTTCCTACAGATGCTGTAAATGTTAGCAGATCATATCTAGCCAGGGTCTGTAGTGAGTGAAAGTTAGCACCTGATGCTTGATTGATGGCTGCTGGGTTTGTAAACTTCCCTAGAGCAGGGACCTGTGTCTTGGCTGGTCTTTCAAATACTGTAAAACAATGATAATGTGTGGAGTTCCCACTGGTAGACATTGTCATCCAAAGAGCCACTTCTATACATGCCATTAATTGCCCACCTTGGCAGAGGTCAGGTGCTGCTAAAAAGTCATGAAGACCTGTGAAGAACAGCCTAGAGCAGTGGTGGCCAGCCCTTTTAAGCTCAAGGCAGTTGGGGACAATGCCAGTTTTTAGCTTTCACTCATTTGTTGTCTGCAGAAAAATAATAGAGCAATTTTTCTGTTACCAAGGACTCAGAAAGACCACAAATCAAAGTGGTTTTGACAGTACAGATTCTTGTTGGAAATCTCCGAGTTTATCTTATGAATCATGTGCAAGTCTTTGTACCACATACTTTTTACAAGCATTGTGTTCCTTCTAGTTCCAGGGGGACACACAAGCATCCTGAGGTTTTGTGGATCCCCTGACCACAGGGGGATTTTCCCTCCCCTGATGGATAATCTGCTGTAGTGTTTGAATGCTTTTAATTTACTTTTCTCCAGTGACTAATTCTGTGCAGTTGTTTCCTTTGGCCTAATAACACCTGGTTTCCCTTTCAGTTTGTTGAGTGCATCAAGCTGAATAGAAAACCCTTTCACCTGGTTGGCACTTCAATGGGTGGAAATGTTGCAGGAGTTTATGCTGCTCAATACCCTGCAGAGGTTTGCAGCCTGTCTCTTGTGTGCCCTGCAGGTGAGTAGCGTACCAAAGTCCAAGTGTTGGTGAGAATTAACTGAGGGCATGGGCGACTGGTGCCTCCTGAGTCTGGGGGGCACCAGATTGCCAACAGGGGAGGGATCCCCCAGCAGCCGATCGCCGACTGGGGGGGAGGGTCCCCCTGCAGCTGATCACCAGCTGTCGCTTCAGGAGGTGCACGGCTGATCTCAGGGGGTGCACATGCACAGGCATGCACCCCTTACGCTTTGCCAGTGACTGAGGGAACTTCAAGGTGGTGCTAAATGCGATGCAGTTGCTGTTGTGTATTTGGCACTTGGGGCACCTATACACATGCAGCAAGGCTGCTCTAACTCATTGTAATGTCAGTGTGTCAGATCAGATATGATTAATCAAGTCTGCTGGCGCGTGGTAATTGCCACACTCCAGCAGACTCCAGTGTCTCAGGTATTAGCGTCCCTGTGCTGAAAAATGGCAGTGGATGTGCTTTTAGCTAAAGCTCATTCAACACTGATACATGAGATGTTCTGGGCACTTTAATTAGAACAACTCTTAGAGCCGCTCTAATTAAAGTGCACCCCTCCCCCACGCCTGGTGCATGTGTATAAATGCCCTAGGAGATGATATGCTAAGACTCTAGAACCCGGTTTAGATATTCCATCACAGTAGTTAGCAAATCTGCTTGAACAGTACATGAGCTCCTGAAACAGAGCACTTGGTTACATAGACCATGACCTAAACCCAGCAAAAGCTACATTCTAGTCTCCATCCTAAGCAGCCTTTTTTGTGGCTTTCTCTGCTAAGCTCCCTGCAGGGTAACCTTTCCATGTTTGGCCTCAGTTTCAAGGTGTTTTTATTTATTTTTTAATTAACTTGTTACTGATGTATGTACAGAATAGTGCATTCCTTTGTGCTTGTGCTACTCAGTGTTAGCTGAAAAAATGCCGTCTCTGTTTCTAAAGAAACTCAGTTGTGGATTTTGTCCTTGAGTGGTGAACTGTTGTGAAAATGGAGCGTTTGCAATGGATGTTCTGGGTGAGGAATTTGGAAAGTAAAGAAGGTGACTCCTGCAGAGGAAGAGAAGAGATGGCAGTATCTTTGCTTTATACAACCTTAGAGCTTGTGTTACGCCAAAGTGGGGTTTTCTGAGAAACCATCTTCCAGGTAGAGTAGCTTTGCCTTCCATTGTAAGGGTGGCAGGGCAGATAGGAGAAGGAACTAGAAAAGTGAACTAGGATCTACAGTTCCAGCAAAGACAACTCTAGATCATCACTGGCTTTTACAGATCAGCAAGTTACAGCTGTTCTGGGGAGCTGCTGTACATATTTGGATGTAACTAACATCTCAAGTGTGTTCCTTCCATCTTCAAAACTTGCACAGGGCTTAATTTTAGGATTACCGCTGTAATCAGAATGAGTTTCCTGGGGAATTTTACCAAACAATCTTTGCCTATTTTGGGAATGAGTATGCAACCAATATATCTTTAAATGTGCCCTTTTGTTTTTATCTTCATCATGTCACAGCATTGACTTAAAATTCATCATGGATTGTAGCAGAGTCTGAAGGTGACACTTACTGCCAACAGGCCAATATTAATTGTTGGGCACCTCAGGAGAGTCTAACCCAGCTTCTCTGCTCTAAATGAGAGACTCTCAGAGCCATATAGCTTGCACAGGAGCAGCTGAGATGAAGGAAAGTGGAAGGTCAAGGGAGGATCTGAAGTAGGCTGACCATATGTGACAATGTGAAATCCAGGACCCTGTCTCTTCTGCTGCTGTAGGGAGTCACTGGCCTGTTAGTGACCCAGTGCGCTTTGCTTTGGGGGCTGGACTCAATGATCTTCCAAGGTCCCTTCCAGCCCTAATGTCTGTGAAATCATAGGTGTTAACAGTCCCCTTTGAAGTAACAGTTAGTATTAACTGTCATTCCACTAATCAAGCTAACCTATTTTAGGGCAATTTTGCTGCCTGCCAGAGCTCCTATTTCATAGCTCCTGCTGTTCTGCCTCCGTGCCTGGGGTGCTCATTTTAATTTTCACTGGCTGGCTAGGACCAACCTCCGAAATCCAGCACTGCCCTGGCCAGACCAGGACATATAGTCACCTTAATCTGAAGTGACATGACAAGAAACTTCTGTTGAAAACGTACAAGGGAATTCAGTTGGGCTGTCCCATCCCTTCTGATCTGGTTTTCACTTAGGGTAAGACCTCTCTGCACCTCTCTGGTAGTGTAAAAGTGCCTCAAAGCAGGTATAGAGTCCGCTTTCACTGCTTGAGAACAGCTTTACAGGCCCAGAGTGGTGTAGGGCAGCATCAGTGAGGATGAGAACCAGTTCCTGTGCATTCTGAATGCCTAGAGGGTAAGACTTTAGTTGATTCTGCCCAAATGTGTTACAAAGACCACTCCTCAGCTCCATCTGTTTGGAGATCGTGACGTTAAAAAAACCTTAATAAGTGCAATGTATGAAATACCTGGTGTATATAGAACATTGTGTTTTGCTACCTTCATTTCCTATCCTGGTGGTTGGCCGAAATGTTCAGTATAAGCCTAGATTTTGAATGCTGCAAATGGGCGCGAGTCTGAGCGGGGTGTTCTCTGTTATAACAGCTGTTATATGTTTCGGCATAACAGCTGTTGCATCCCTTTCCCAGCCAATAAAGTAAAGATTCTAGACAAAAAATAAATATTGAGGCAAAGAGGAATGCTACCTGGTTACCACCTGTCTGCTCCAGAGAAAGAAAGGAATGGAAATAAGTCTGTGTGTTGGGCGTCTAATATAGGAGAGGTTCTGGCTAAATCATCCAATATTTCCCCAATATGTGACTTGTTGATTGTACCGAAGAGGTCTGACGTAGAGCTGGTTGCAAGCATATGCAAAAAAATGTTTAAATCCTGACTTCTCACCTTCCAAAAGAACATTTCATGCCATTGATTCTGCATTTTCTATGCAAAGCTCATTGCTGGTTTTTTTGTTGCTTTTTTTGTTTAGACGTGTATGACCACAAAATATATGGATAGTAAGCAAGAGTCTGGGTGCTTTGGATATGCCCTGTCTGACATTTCATTTTGGGGTATAGGCTGCTGTGGCTGCAGCATCATTAGTGGAGGTTCTGAATGTTGCTGCATTTTGAGCTATTTAAAAAATAGAAGGAATTAAAAAAACAGAAAGCAAAATGCAAACAGCCTTCCCTGCCTGTGATCGGGCATTCCAGCCACTCGCCGTGTGTGGCATAGCTGTTCCACCTATCAGGTTTCTGTGCATGATATACCTAAAGTACTTAACAATGTCTATCTTGACCTTCCCTATACCTCACAGGCTCTTAATCTCCTTTTCTCCTTCCATGCCCTCAACTGAATACATAGGCTTTCCTGCTGCTGTTTTTGTCTTCTCCCGTGGAATGTATCTTTAGTGCCTCAAAGGCTCTTGGGTTTGACTAAGTTGACAATTTCTCTGCCTAGTCTTTGGGAGGCATTTGGCACCCAGAAGCAGTGGTGAGAAGGGAGAACTGGGACATTATTTGGTAAATATTATAAGTGGGGACTTTATTTTCTTTTTTGGTTTGAAAAAAAAAGCGTGCAGGGGGTTAGGCCATAGACATTAACCTCTGACATGGGTAAGGGAGTTTCCCCCTGTTAGTCCCTTTCAGGAATATTGTCCCTGCATTGCCATCACCGTGGTTCTAACTTCATGGATGAAATTGGGTATGGGATTCACTGTGTATAAAAGGAGGTAACCTGGGGGGCTTGTGGAAGAGACAGTGTCCATCACATGAACACTATGGTTCTTTTGACAGGTACCTTATTATGGAAAATGGTCTACAAAGTTAGAGAAGGGAACATCTGAAAGTCTGCTCAGAAGATGGAGAGTAGAACCTCGGTTTAATTGTCAAATTACAGAGGTTGTCTGGTTTCAGTTCCCACGTGTTCACTTCTCAGGCAATTTGGCAAAGCTGACAGGCTGTACTTGTGAGGAGCTCCCATGGTACAGGTCTAGCAAGGAGGTGGCATGGCAGAATGGGATCTTCGTTAACACTTCTGTATTCTGTTTCATCTTAAGCATCGTGGGACTTTGTAGGAAGTTTCATCTTCCTCCAGAATCCTGGCAATAAGGTGCATTTGTGCATTGTGATGAGGTTGAGGCTAGTATAGCCTCACATGTACAGTACACACAGAAGAGGCTTTATGTAGAGGATGTCTCCTCTAGACACAAACATGAGTGCTGTCACTTTAGACTGCATTGTGCTGTTATTGCTTCTGAATTTTAACACATGGGTATGTGTCTTGTTCATTTTACTCAGGTCTGCCATATCCAACTGATAACAAATTCCGTAAGTTTTTGCGGGAGCTGAAAGAGTCGGAGGGCATTGACAGGATTCCTTTAATTCCATCAACCCCTGAAGAAATGGCTGAGATGCTCAAACTTTGTTCTTATGTTCGCTTTAAAGTACCCCAACAAGTAAGAAATCCTTACCTATTAACCTCCTTCAATCACTACAGGCTTGGCCAGGATGGGGCATGAGCCAGAAAACACATTCAGAGGGAAATCTCTTTTTTTCCTCCCAGAACAACAGGATTTTAAACTCAACTGTGGTGTCATTGGTGATGGAACTGAGAAGCCCATGTTGTGAGCTGCAGCCTGGCTTTTGTAATTCTCTGCATAGGATGACTACTTATAGAGGATGGAAGAGAGAACCTTGACCAGGTGGGGACCATGCTGGTCCCCTCAAACAGAGTTTGAAACTATCCTTGAAGGCAAGAAATCTGGTTTTATGTTGGTTCAAACTCAGTGCTGCAGTTCTGTCTAAACAAGACGAGCTTTGGTACCTTCTTGTGTGACCCTAGGCAAAGTATACCTCGGAGTATATGCTGCAAGAGAACCTGTGACATTTGGTCTTCATGCTCCAGGCAAGAAACCAAAAGCCTAACAAGGTGGGGTGGGTCAAGGTGAGACTTCTGACAGAACCCAACCTCCCCTTGTATCCTGAATTAAGTTTAGAAGGCTTCACTGTTATATCTGTTCCTCTGCATTTTGAGCACCTATGAAATTGAATCTCTAGGACGAAGGGGCTCATTATTTATGACTAATTTAATTTTATTGAATTGGGAAGAGCAGTAATGGAGCCGGCTCATTCGTTCTGACTTGCCTGGCATTTTGATAAAGATTTTTACGAATATTAAAGGTCACTTCCCTTTTTGACTTCATAGAAACGTTGGGAGGTTTCTGTATAGAAATAAAACCAATTTTATAAGTAACTTTTTTGCAGAAGCTCTTGCTGGTGGAATGACTTGGGTGTTCCTGAAGCTGGGCCTAGGTTTTCTCTTTTGCCTTTGCAGTGGTTCCATCCTTGGCAGTGTTATTCCTCTTAGCAGCAAGAATGGTGGATAGGAGGGGAATATTTTTCTAAGGTTGCTAATGTCCCTGAAGTGTAAAGTTAGAAGGGACCTCTATGATCATCTAGTCTGACCACTCCTATAATGCAGAGCAGAGGACTTCACCCAGTAATCCTTGCATTTGCACTTTCCCCTTAATCTTGGCTTTCCCAGTCTTTTTTTCCAGCATGACCAACCTGATATTTCCATGCTGAAGACTTTGAAATTCTCTGGCAGTTGGTTGGGAAGTCTCTGGGTCCTTTTAGCAAAGATAGATAACAGGAAACGCTAAATAAACACAACAGGTTTTATCCAGCATGGAAGAGGATTGCTTATTTGTTCATTTTTTAGCAAGTGTAAAGGGAATGTTAATTGCTCCATTGTGAGGCGAGAGGAACTTGGCAATAGGTTTGCCATTACGCTGATTTTCCTTAGGAAGTCTGGGATGAGTAGATTATCGGCTAAGAGAAAATGTAAAGTAACACCAAGGGGAAATGTTATATTAGCAATAACGGTGAAGGCAGCCTGCTCAGAGCACCCATCTGGCTTGATGGAACATTTTGGTTTCCCAGCATAAAAAGGGGCTTTGTCCTGTGGGCCAGCAGCCCCTTTACGAGGGGTTAGAGCTTGTACAACTCATTTGCTGTTGTCTTGCTCTGCAGCAGCATGAGGCAGCCTCATTTCTTTATTACTGCAACAGCCTGGAAATGTATCACAAAACCTCACGTTATGTAATGGGCAGGAGGACTGGAGGGAGCAGCATTTGCGTGCTGAGGATGAGCCATCCCTGCAGACCCATCCTTTGTCCTTGGAAACTGCTCCCTATGCTGGCTTCCCAGCCCAGCCCTACGCTGGCTGCATGTGGTGCGTCCTATCAGCTGCCCTGATGTGCTTCTGTTTCCTTACAGATTCTGCAGGGCCTCGTCGACGTCCGCATCCCCCACAATGAATTCTACCGCAAATGTAAGTGGGAGAGGTCTGCCCCTTAGTGCCCGCCAGAAGCTGTCTTGGGTTTGTGTCTGCGATTGGCATCCAAAGGGCTCAGTCTGGGTTCAGATCCATCCTCCTCTGCTGCCCTGCACAATGGGGGCTTAGTTACTTCGCCACCAGGGCTTCCCTGCAGAGGATACTTCACGGTGGGGGATCTCTGCCAGAGGTGGAGAGGCTGGGGCAGTGCTGAGAGGGAACGTAGGACACATGTGCTCCTCCCTGCCCTCTGAATGGCTCTCTGAATGGTGACTCCAGATGCTCTTCTGTGCCCCAGCCCCCCTCCTGCAGTCATGTGAGCTGACAGGGCCAACTCCAGTGAGCGATGCATGTCCCAGAGGTCACCCCTTCAGCTGCAGCCCTGGGCCTCTTCTGTTAAGCAAGCAGTAACTCCAGAACAGTCCTGCCAAAGCTTTTTCCAAGTTCCTTGGGGCCAAGCTTTCCCAAGCCCTGGCTCCTCTTCTTGGATTGCTCCCACTGCTCTCATGTTCTTGAGCCATTGTTACTCCCCTGGAGGATGAAGTAAAAGGTGGAGGGGGAGGGGTGGTGGAGTGGGCAAGAGAATGAGAGGAAGCCACAGGGGTTGTGCTGCATCTCCCAGGCTTAGGATAGCAGCTCCCTCCACCTTGGCTGGTGTGGACACATCTTCCCCTGGCTATTTTAAGGTATTTTTAATCATCAGTTAGCTTTAATTGATGCTGGTGGGGCCAAGGGCAAGTCTTGCCATGGTGGAGCCCAAAGGATCCTTGGCCTCCCAGGGAGGGATACAGGGGAAGTTCATAAGCAAGCCCTCTGTGTGGTTCTGCAGTGGGGTGAGCACTGACTCCCTCCTGGATAGAGTGGAAAGGAGCCACTGCAAGGTGAGCCCTACAGGCTTTTGTCCTGCTCTAGTTCCTTCCCCCCAGCCCTGCCAAGACCTCCTTTATTGGGGCAGGTCCCCTCCTTAAGGTCTCAGGGAGCCTGCTGGAGGAGCGGTGCAGCAGTGCAGCGCGGTGCGATGTGATTTGGCCTGCTGATGGCTTAGCACTGAATAGAGTGAATTCCACGTGTCAGACTAATGCCTCTTTCCTGTTGAAAAGTGTTCTTGGAAATTGTCAATGAGAAGTCCGTATACAAGCTTCACGAGAACATGAGTAAGATCAAAGCCCCGACGCAGGTCATCTGGGGAAAACAAGACCAGGTACTTATTCCCACTCTGATGTCTGTGCGCTTTCATGAGGCTTGTGGCTGTTCCCAACTGTGTGGATGCAGCATGAGCACACACAGCAGATAGCACCTAGCAAGGGGAATGTCGTGTTAGTTCAGGATTGATTTACCTGGCTGTCCTGACATGCCCGGTGCTTTCCAGACCAGTCGCAAGCATGCAAGGTCCCCGTCTGCCCCAGGGCACAGTCAGCTCAGCTAGGTGGTACTGTCTCTGAGGGGTGATAGCAGGGGATGGATGGGAGGGAAGGGGAGATGGCAGGGAGAGCAGATCAGGATGGAGCGTTGGCTACCAAGAGCTCTGTTCCCCTTCGTGTGGTTGTCAGTGGAGAGGGAGCAGTTGCAGCTGAAGTGAGGGATGCAAAGCTCCTTGAGAGACACGGGCTTGGGAGAGGAATTTCAAGGCAAATGAGGAGTTGTCGTGGCAACGAGAGAGATGTTGTTCCATGGGTGGGCAGCAGAAAGAAAGGCACAAGATGGAGAGCAGAGCAAGGGGATGTAAAGGAGGGAGGAATAGGGAGGGCTGAAGCAGATAGAGATGTGTGTGGGTAAAGAGAGGAGAACCAGAGCTGAGGTGGGAGTTGGGGGGAGCTGTGGGGAAGTAGTGCTTCTCCCTGTGCCATGGCTCCAGCAAGCTGCTCTGTTGGCAGAGGTGGCAGGGAATGCCTCCTGCTTAGGGGCCTCCCATGCTAGGATGGAGTTGCTGGCCTGGTCTCACCCACGGGCCCTTGTGCTCTCTGCCTTCTGCTTTTCACAGCATGTAAAGAGCCTTGAGAAGCCGGGCTTGGGCTAGCACAATTATGAGGCTGCCCTAACTTGAATGAAGAGCTGAGCAGGCCCCCAGATAGTCTTGGGGTACAAGGCTGGCTTAGAGCATCCCTGAGCAGATGGGTGAAGGAACTGGGAGCCATATCCTGGGGGAGGAGTAACATGGAACAGAACTGACGGGTGACTCGGAGCCATGTGGATCTAAAGCCTGGATCTAAAATAAAGGGAGTAGTGAGCTTGACAGACATTGGTATGTCACTAGGGAAAGGACCCATCATGATGGTCTTCTATGGGCTGGGGCTCTGATGCCTTCCCATCTTAGTCTGCATTTGCCATTGGAATCATTTCCATCTAGGTTAGGTCCTTCTCATCCAGGCTGGCTTCCTCACTTTTGGCCACCTGCAGAGGGTTCTTCATACAGTCCTAATGCCACTTTCCAGGATGTCTCAGCAAAAGGGGGAGCAGATGCCCCTGTGGGGAGAGATGCCACAGCGTCCATGGGAGAAAATGCTTTTGGAGCTCATGCTAATAGCAAATGAGAAAGGAGCTGGGCTTGCGTTCTGCCTAGGGTTGCCATAAGATGCTGATGAGATCTGCAACCAGCAGGGGCTAGAGAGGGCTGTATCTGCATGTGCTGATATTGTCCAGTGTCATATCTATTTCTGGACTTGCGGATCCTGTGAAGTGGCAGGGAGACTCAGTGACAAAGGAACTGGGAGGAAAGCAGAGAAGGGGCTCAAGTAAGGAATCAGTGTGAGTGGGTTTGTGGTGGGAATGATCAGCTTCACCTCTCGGTGGATGCAGAATAGTGCTCTCTGAGCGCTTACTGCCAGTCCTGGAATGCTTTCCCTGAATGATACATGGACACAGTTTTTCCCCTGGTCTTTAAGCCATGTTAGAAGAGTGGTTACAAACTGGTCTGGGATGGGGGAGCGGTATGATTTTGTGTAATATATACCTATCTGCCTGCTGCCTTGACAGCACCAGCAAGGCTTAAACAGGATTGTAACCAGTATAGTTTTATGTGGCGCTGCCTGAATTATTTCCACTACGGAGCATGGCTTGTAAAGACGGTGGAAACAACATAGGAGAAGCCATGGATAATTCTGTGAGCTACTCCTCAGAATCTGAGGTGGGAAAGAAAGGCAGTTTGGAGTGACCAGGTATCCCACTTGGATATGTAAAACCTGCCAGGTGCCCAAGCGGGGTCTCAGAAGAGTCCGTAAGTTTTGATTCGACTATCTTTGAATGTTCACTGGTGTCTTTTTTTCTGTTGCTTAGGTCCTGGATGTATCTGGAGCAGATATTCTAGCGAACTCCATTCCTGACTGTCATGTGCATATTCTGGAAAACTGTGGACACTCGGTGGTAGTGGAAAGGCCCAGGAAGACTGCGAAGCTCATCTTAGAATTTTTAGCCTTGGTGCACAATGCAGAGAACAGCAAAAAACTCGCTTGAGCTTCATGTAGAGCTGAGCACCTGAACAAGCTGTTTTGAGTTGTGAAGTGCTGATGCTTTGATAAGTTCTCAGGGATCTTGTACAAAGTGGGGTGAATGTGCCAAAGTCCCTGAGGAAGCCAGAATCATTGATACATAAATCTGTAGTGCTTTCAACACACAGTGACCTAAGGGATCATAGAACAATTTTCATTTTTTTTATACATAAATTAGAAAATGAGCTGAAATCAGAAAATTCTAGCCATGGAATGCACCAAAAACTCTTTCTGTAGCCCATGTTCTGTGAACTTATGTAATGGTAAACGTCTTGGAACATAGGTGTTAATGACATTCACTTAGGATATATAAGAAGTATGGAAGGGGGAAATGTCATAGAGTGTGATTTAAGCTACGTCTGCTCTTTAGAACCTATTGCATTGCATGATAAGTTGTTATAAGAGAATTCTAATGTTCCAGGCATTTGCTAAAGTGCTGTTTCTGTAGCTCATTAGCCTCTGACTTATGCAGAAAATGGAAGCCACGCACACACAACCTAATTTGCAGAAGTAAAATGACCGTGTACCCAAAATGTTTACACTTATTGTAGGTGGACTTTTTAGTCCCTGAACAATTCCTATGTATAGATAGATATTTTGCTGCCTTAACAGTCCAGAATAATGAGGTACTTCTACAGCTTGGCCTCTCTTTGATGGAGGATATTTTTCTTTTGATGTTAAGCCTCTGTTGTATATAACAACCAGCACTACAGAGACCGTTTCAGAACAGTTAAAGCAAGTGGAAAGATACTCCCAGACCTATTTATTCTTTTTAGATTTGGGGCCTAAGCAAGCAATAATCCTGTAGATAGAAGCATGACTGATCAAATTCAGGTTAACACTAGGGTGAGCTCTTATCTCAGCTCTTTTCTATTCTATCGTGCTGCTGAATATTTTGATGTAAATAATGAGTCTCTTAATGAATTCCGTGAATTCTGTGACTGGTAAATGTCATTGCAAACAAGTATAAGACCTAAGTGAAATGAAATAAGCATCATAACAACTAGGTACTGTACAGGCTCCTGTAATTCCTAAACTCGTACGATGTGAGTTGGTAGCAGGTGTATTGTATCTCATTTTAAAAGGCGTTTTAAAATGTAGTGGTGCAGACAAGTACAAGTTCAGTAGCGTTTCCTTTGGGCGACTTACCTCTGATTTCCCTTGTGACTTTTCTCTAAATGAAACCATGGATCAAGATGGAAGAGCCAGACTAGTTGAGTCTCCTTACCCATGACACACTTTTTTGTGGTGTGTAGACTGACTTTTGTATTGATTCATCCCTCCCCTATGATATGCAGTGTGTATTGCTGTATCTTTAAAATCAACTGCTGGGTGCTCATTCAAGCTATGCAGTGAGTCCAGCTGTGTGGCTTGGGTGAGGATCTGGTTCTTGGGCCCTGTTTAGTAGAGCCAATCAGCATGTTGTCTTCTGAAAGTGTGGGAGAACGTCACTACAGCTATCACCCTCAGGCCCCCTTATGGACACTGCACTTGGGCATCAACAGCGGACACTTGCTAAACTAAAGACTCTGGTAGACTGTATGTTTTAAGCTTCCACTTCTAAAAACCGCCTTTTAGCTACTTTTCCAGTGTGATCTGAGCTGTGTATATATTTGAACCCCACTACTAGTCTGCCTCTTCTTTTTAGAGGAGAGTCCTCTCTCTCTTTTTTTATTTTAGAAAATTAGAAATATGTTGTTCGATTAATTGCTTGGTCATTGTTTCTACTACAGGAATTAACTCGGTGGCTGATCATTTTATGTGGTGAGAGCTGGCAAAAAATGTTGTTGGCTGTCACATGGTTGTGAGGATTCCACAGGTTGCTGTATGCACAGGACGCAAACAGTTCATATTAAACTCAAATGACTTGGACAGCCCTGTACACATTAACTTTTATTTGGGGTGGAGAGGGTGGTGGCTGGGGGATTGTAGATGGATGGGGGAGTTGGCTGACTTTTGAATGTCTGTGAACCCTGGGTATTGTAGTAATGTCAAGTGACATAGCAGGTCCACCTAGTCCAATGGTGCCACCTACTCCAGTAGCCTGTTTCTGACAGCAGCAAGTATAAGGCTCTTCAGAGGGAGAGTACATGAATGGGACATGTCTCGAGTGATCCTGTCATACCTTCCCTGGAATCGACCATCATTAGTTTAGGAATGTCAGATGATGCATCCTTGATTGTTCTGTTTAATAGCTCCAGTGGACCTGCCCTCCATGAATTTGTCTAATCCCTTTGTGAACCCAGTTGTGCTGTTTGCCTCTACAACTTTTTGTAGCAGCAACACATGTCAACTGTGCTCTATGTAAAAAAAATAAAAAATAAAAAAAAATCTTGCTCTGATAATTTAGAACTTCAGTGGGTTCCTCCCAGTACTAGTATTCTGGGACATGGTGTATAACAGCTCCCTATTCACTTTATTCCCACCCTCCATGATTTTATAGACCTCTATTGTATCCCCTGACATCCACCACCTTTCCAAACTGAAGAGTCCTAGCCTTTTCAGTCTCTCCCAGTACAGCAGCTGCTTCATAGCCCTGATTATTTTGGTTGCACTTTTCTGAAACCTTTTCTGATTCCAGTAATCCTTTTTTTTTAAGATATGAGCACTGACCTGCATGCTGTAAATGATGACTACTTGGGACCATTGAAAAATAGTGGTGGCAGCTAGGGCCAAATTTTGATCTCTTCAGAGGCATTTCAATGCAAACCAAATTTGACCTTAAAAGTTTGAGGCAAAGCCAAGTTTCAATTTAGGCAGATTAACCTGATTCTAATCCATGTAAAATGTTGATGCGTCTAGTGTGGAAGGTGTCAATTGGTACCAAAGATCTATAGAATATCATTCAGATTGTAATATCTCATTATATCAAAGTGTGGATGCATCACTTGTGGAGGACCTGGCACTCCCAAATTCTTGGTCTCACCTTAGGAGATATTTGACTCTGGGTAACTATACCAACCGCAAGGTGGCGGTGGCATGACAGTGCTCAGCTAATGGTCAAACTTTTCTGGAGTTGGGTAAATGCATCAAAAGAAGACCCTGATCCATCAGATCGTGAGACTCAAATACGTACACACAGTAAACTCCTTTAGGGAGGCCGTCATTGAATTTCCTCCAGGCTCTTGCTTCTTTGGGCTGCTGGGTTGGGATGAATCCTGGATCCCACATTCCTGCCCATCCCTCCACGTTCCTGCTGCTTAATTTTGAGGAAGATCTGCAGAGTCCTCGTAAAAGCTGCAGCATGAGCTCCCCCTCTCTCCCCCCAGCTATGAATGGATTTAACCATAAAGCAGTTTCTTTGTAAAACAAAATGGTCATTTTGAGGCATTTTAGAAAGGTTCAGTCTCAGGCAGCTCAACATCTGGAAATGGCTGTGGTGCAGAGAACAGCTCAAACAGCTCTGAGGTTGCAGCTTGTAAGCCTTTGCCTCAAAATCTGCAGATAGCCTGCAGTTCCGCCTACCCAGACACGAAATACTTGCAGTTGCTGGACTGGGGAATGTGAACCAGGCATCACGCCTGAGACCCCTTTGGGGGTGAGGGTCTGAGGTAGCATTGCCCAGCTGGGTTTTCTGCTGCTTCATGCGGCAGGGATCTACACCAATGCATGGAGCTAAGCAAGTGGAAAGACATCTGTGGGCTGTGTCATTGGGCCAGTTCCCTGACATGTGCCTTAACAGACGGCAGTTCTTGTGCTACAAAACATTTAATCCCAAGGTTGGCGTTTCATTACTGAAATGACTAAAACTGACTTCAGCAGTGGCATTAATAATAGAGAAGTGGTGCCTCCCTCCAGCCACCATTACAATGACTCCAGTGTATAATGCGGATCTGGCTCCACTCCTCGCTTCTAAATGGCAGATTGGCATCACTCGGGGTGTCTGGATTCCAGGCTTGAGATTGTTGCTGTTAAGCAGTAAAATTCCACAGGTCTGGTCTGGGACAGCTTATGTGAAGGCGATGTCAGTCCTGACCTATGATTCACTTTGAGGGCTATTTCCAGGCCCTGGTCCCTGCTGTGCAGTAACTGGCTCAGTCATTTCTTTCCTGTATTTCTCTGTTCCCCCTTGGCAGTCATTTCAGCAACAGCTGCACTCCCTGGTAGACCCCAGCCCTTCTCCCACTCCCCAATTCTCCGCTGCTTGGACCTCAGACTACATCACTGCAGGCCACCGGGGAGGCTTCTGCTACTGCCCGGAGCTCCATGGACTGGAGAACCTAAGCATGCTGCTTGCAGCACGAATGCAGCACCCTGTTGCAGCTCAGCTTCTGGCTTTGATTTTTGCCCCACTTCTATTTTAAAAAGCTGAGAGTGGATCAGAATGGCACCTGCCAGATGGATCTTTGTTGACCTTGGTCTTCCTGGGATAGTGGGGAGCACCTGTGATTTACTGCAAGATGATGTTAACCTGCATAAAGCCCCACCCTGTTGGCTTCGTGCAGGTGAATTCCACCCCCAAGCCAATGGTTCTGCACAGCCCCCAGCCCCTTGGGCATGTGACTGCAGCCTGGTTGCATGAGCATACCACTGCAGTTCCCCTGCTTGCACTCCCTACCCCCTGGCACAGAGACCCCAGTGGGGCACTCAGGCAGGGGTGGCTGCCCACTGATACTCTTCTTCCTGCTGGGGTGAAATCATGCATAGGGCTTGGCCCTCTCATTTGCTTGCTGGTTGGAGCAAATGCACATCCTTCCCTGTGCAGATGTATTTGTCTATCAAACACTGTCTAGGCCAAAGGCAGCTCCAAGGACTAGAGCAAGATGCAAGGAAATGTGTGCCGTGGGAGAGCACTGTGCAGTGGCACCAGCACTCCCTGCCCTCCGACTTTTCCTGGTTTATGGGCCTGCCTCTCCCTGCTAGACTAACATGCAACAGCCTTGGGCCTGGTAACACAGCTTCATGTGGATGTCTTTGGAGTCCAGCATGGTATTACAGTCCCAGCAGGAGGGGCCGGGGCAAACACTTAGCTGCCTGACTGCTGTGCCACAAAAACCGTAAGCTATGAGGCTTTGCGGTTTGCATATGGTTGCTAAGGCTCCTGGGCCCACCTGGTCTGGGTCTTGAATACAAGAAGGCTTCAGGCAAAGTCCATCCTGATCAGGGAGCTGCCGTGCTGTTCTGCTGGGGGTGAGACTTGGGGAGCTGCTGTAGGTGGTCAGATCTGTGCGCTTGCTGGGTTGTTGGGGCCTCTGCAAGCCTTGCATTGAGCTAGAGCTGGGCACCACTGCCAGTTGCTGCCTACTGGTTTGATTCCTGTGGTATCAGTGGGCCTCTACAGACCAGCATTTGTTCCTCAGGTCACAGGTGCAGCAGGCATTCAGTGAGGGAGGGTGCCACCAAGAGGCAATAACAAGTAAAAGCTTGGCCTGTGCTGCACCCAGCCTTTGCCTGGCCCATCATGGAAACAGCCAAGAGGGAGATCCTGGTAACTCCCGGTTTCTCCCAGAAGGGAGATTGGAGATGAATGACTGATCTGGGGCAGCCTGGAAAGATGAGCGTGGGAGGGGGTAGGATGCAGAGAGATAAGGCACAACCAGAGCCTTGGGTGGAGGGAAGCTTGATCTCCAGCTGGGGAGCGATCATTTAATGAGCAGATAATCCCGAGGCCGGGGCTGGATGGGAACTTGCTCATATTTCTGCGTTGCTCTGACTAGTGTTGACAGGGTACTTCTCTGGTTCCTGGTCATTTATAACCATGTCTAGCACTTGGCTGATATACCTGGCCGCCCTGTTTTGGGTCAGCATGAGCCTGTTGCCTGCAGGACCCTTCCCTGCCAGAACTGCTGACCTGAGACAGAGCGATGCCTATTATTTGTCTTCACAGTACAGTGTGTGTGAGGGGATAGCTCTGTGGCAGCATATTCTGCCTTTGCTCATATAATCGGCTTTGGGGAAAG